TGATACCCCCCCCCCCAAAATCCCCTCATCTTAGAATTGAGTACAAGGGCAGTGGCTCTGGTTCTGGCTCCAGCTTCCTACCCAGCATAAGAGCTGTAGCCACAGCTGCTGCCTGCTCTTCCACCCCCTGCCACCTCTGCATCTACCATTTCCCCCCTCAACCTATATTCCCCATCTGCACCCTACACATAGCCTCTGTTTCCCTATCTGCCCCTCTGCCCTCCCCACTCACCTTTGCTCTGTCAGCAGGCTCCATGGGGAACTGAGCAAGGCCCAAGCCTGGCCCCATAGCAGCAGCATGCAGCCGTCACAGGTCCTACAGGGCCCAGGCTTGGGCTGTGCTCAGTGCCTCATGCTCAGACAGGGATAGAGCCTGCTGGCAGGGAACACTGCTAGGGGCTTTGGGGGGAGAGGGGAGCAAGGAGGCTGGGGGAGGAGGGAATGGGATCAGAGGCTGGGGGAAAGAAAGGGGGAAGGGGAGGTGGAAGTAGGAGCAGAGAAACTGGGGAAGGGTGGGGGGAAGCAGAGGCTGGAAGGGAAGGGAGGAACAGAAGGTGGAGCAGAAGTGGAGGGGGGCAGGCACAAGCAAGGGGTAAGCTGTTTAACCTCCTCACATCACCTGCTCCTGCACTTCCTGCCCCCCTACATCTCCAGGGGGGATGAATGAAAGATGATCTTCAAATAAGTAGATTCTAGACATTTTTAATTTCTCCATGTATAGAATCTGATTACTGGGGGGTCATCTTACATTGAGTTGTCTTAGATACAAGGAAAAACAGTAGCATTGGGAGCCCCCAGAGAGTATTTATTAATCCAAGCACTGCACTCATTTTTATCAGATTTATTTTTTGCCATTGGCTTAAGGGGATGCTTCCTATTTACTCAAGCCATTGGTGATTTGTGTGATAATTAGATCTATATTATTTTTATTACTTGCTTTAAATCTCCCTGGATTAGAATTCTAAGATAATTGTATGCCATTAGCTGCTACTGCATTTCCCACTGAGTTAGCAAGACCTAAAATACATTTGAGCTCATCCCAATGCTTCACCTTGTTCCAGATATCTTATCCCAGATAAGCATGTGAAGCGTTCTGTGAGATCTGACAATCAGTGTGCATTGCCTTCTGTATGGCCATATTTATTACCATTAGATCCATGTAGCCCCAAGCGTGCATTTGAACTGGTACAGCACTGTCTCAAAAAGTTGCAGGGAACATCAGCCCTTATTTGGTCTTCCCTGTAATGAGAATAGTTTTAAAAAAGTAAGTGACTGGTAGTCACCCATGAGGAGAAGTGAGTTTAATTCAACTGATAACTTGCCACTGAATCAGTGTTCAGCCAAAGTTTTCTTTTAATGTTATCCCATTACTCCTTATTATGCCCTTCAAATTAATCAAACTGATCTCTGTCCCCTGTTGGGTCAGATTGTGAGCTGATGTAAATCTGCAGTTTCATTGAAATAAATGGAGTCACACTGATTTACACCACCTAAGGGTCTGGGTGTTTCTTGTTTTCTGTTTGTTTGATAGACATATACTAGGTATATAAATGCAATAAAAAATATTAATGAATAAATAGGTAGGTGGTATGTAACCAGTCTATGCTTACTTAATTCATACATTCTCTTAAGAAAATACTTCTAGGCTCCTGTTCCTCTTTATAGAATTTCTCTCAGTTTCCCCACAATTTGTTAATATTTTTGGAATTAAAAAAAATGCCCAGAATTAAGCACTATATCAAAGAAGAGAAAGAACTGTCCCCTCCCTGATGAGTTACATGGTATTTAAAATATAAATGTAAGTAACTAAAAATCACATTGGCTGTTCATTAGGAAGTAATTAACAGCTCTTGTCTGTTTATTTGCTAATACTTGAAGAGTAAGAGATTTTTAGGCATCATGCTGTCAAGTTAACAAAACAATCATTTAGATGTCAACTGACAATTATTTAATGTCTTTTCTTAAAAAAATTAATAGCTCTTGTCAGCTTCAACTGCCATCTTGATGTAAGCTGGGTAAATTATAATGCCTAAAATTTCATGCAAGTTTAATGTATTAATAAAAATGTCTGGGGACATTTAATGTTGGCAATATTTTGACTTAACTACAGTGCATGGCAGCCAGATTTATTCTGACAGAAGGAGACAAAGAAAGAGGCAAACAGAGGCAAGGAGAAGGACAGAGAGATTAAGAATACTTACTGAAAAGGAAAAAGTGCATATTTGAATCTATTGCAACAGCAACCAGGAATCTGTTGGCTCAACATGTTCTGAGCAACAAAACACCCCAAAGTCCTTCCTACGGCTCAATTGGAATATACATTCGCCAATGTAAATCACTCAGCACAAGATCAAATTGTAAATGCAGTGTGTAGGTCATTATGATATTGAAGGGAGGAGGGAAGAACCTTGGCAGCTGCACAGTACCAGCATCCAGTGTGGCAGTGATTTTCTTTTGCTATCATGGGATTATTAGCTTGTTTCTCCACCTCCTTTCTCCCAAGGTATTTCCTTCTGCTGACTTTACTAGGCCTTCTGGACTTGCCTGTAAAACATAGCTTTGCTCCTATGGGTCACTGCTTTCTGGCATGTTTTCACTCTACTGACCAACATTTCAGCATGTAAAATTAATTTGAGTATGTATTACGTGCCATCTTCTGGATAGAATCAGAGCTGTTCAACCATGTGTCACTGACTAGCCCTGTCCTTGCCTAGTTTTTCCCAATTTCTGAAATCAATGCCACACTTCTTAATGTTCACCTTAAAGTTGTCCTCAAAGCATTTTCTGTGGCCCCCATGTGTCCTTTGTCCTTGGCTAAGTTGGACTATAGCAATTGCTTCGGTAAACTTACATCAGGCATGTGAACACAATGCCCTGTCATAGAATCATAAAAAGTTAGGGTTGGAAACGACCTCAGGAGGTCATCTAGTCCAGCCTCCTGCTCAAAGCGGGACCAATAACAACTAGATCATCCCAGTCAAAGCTTTGACTAGCTGGTTTTGAAAATGTCAAAGGATGGAGCTTCTGACTGGACATAGGACAGTTCTGCCAGTCACAGAAAGCTTTTCCCTTCCCATCAAGAAGGGTTTTTATCTTTGTGTTGTTTTCATCAAACCAGTCCTGATGGCATTGGGTGATAAAGCCAATCAATTCCATTCAAGCTTCATGGATGGTCTAGATAAAACCTATGTGGGATCTAAACTGATGTACTTTTTAAATGTTTCACCAGGATTTAAAGTAATATTAGTTTAGCTCAAACATACATGTAGAGCAGACAGGTAATATACATACATTAGTCTAGCTTATAAATGTTCTTAAGCGCTAAATAGTGCCCTTTCTTTTAAAACAATTTAGTATGACAACAGCCCACAGCCTTAGAATATTACTGTTGAGATGATAATACTTGAGCTTGAAAGAAAGACTTTTGCTGAATATTCAGAATCATGGCTTATTTGTTCTGCTCATCACCCTAAACTAATGACAAGGAGTCGTCACCACCTCTCATGGATCAACTCCTTTTCAAGGGGAAGCTTTGCCTCAGGACTCCCCAAAAAGCCTTGTTCAATCTCCATCCTGATGGAACTCCTGAAGTCAACCATGGCTTGGCTTTTAGATTAGGGATGGACATTCAAAAAGCCTGAGCCTGAATTGATTCAGTCTTTTCAGGTTAGTGTAACCTGGCTAGGCTAAATCGATTTTGTAACCAGACAGACATCCCAGAAATGCAGGCACATGCCTACAGTGGCTCAGGCTAGAAGCTGGGGGGGTCAGGTGGGGGGGCACTAGAGAAGCCCTCCCTTCCCTTCTACAGTGCTGAGCTGAAGTGGGGGCATGGCCAGGCCCTGGCAGCATGCTCTGATTACGGAGGATTCCCCGATCCTGACCAGCCCAGCAGGGAATGTTTATCACCCCTAACTCAGTGTTTATCAGCCCACCAAGAAAACAATAGAGGGACATTTCCAGCTATCTGTTGATTCTGCCTTTGCCCCATGTGCCACAGCTCATAGGTAGCCAGCATGTGGTCTGCTAGCTAATGCTGGGAGGTTTCTGTGAGGGACGGGGGAATGCCTTCTTAGCAGAGAGTGGGGAGTGGAGGCGGGGGAGCAAAAGCCAACACATGCCTGCAGAGACTGCCAGAGTT